GAATACCGCCCCTGGAGTTGTCGCAGCGGTGCGGAAAGCGGAAAAGTCGCTATCTGTTTTAGCGAACCACACCCATTGATCGCTTCAAACATTTTGAGTGCACATTTGACTTTCATTCAAAGTTTTTGTGGTATTCGTACAATCTAGTCGCAATGGGCATTAACTTGCGGGTCAAGCAGATGCTCAGGTGTATGTGTTCTTTCGAGTCTCTAGTGCTCTAGTAGGGTGAAAAACTTCTAGAGCCTGTTAAAATCCTACCTGGGATTTAATTACCGACCGTGTGCGTCCCATCACTTCACGCTTCCTTGTCCGTACTTGTCACCTCCTTCTTCAATAGATATAGATGAAGTAAAGAGGATCTTTATCCAGAGGTGTGCAACGTCACAAAACTTGGTTGTGCACGCAAGCCTCGATTGAGCAAGTTTTCCAGTTGCAAGGGCGTTCGGAATAATGCGCATTGACTAGCATAGAGTTCCCCGAAACTCTTGGCGATGCTACTTAACTAATATTTTATGATTTGGCGAAGTTTGTGGCAGTAAGTACAAGTAGAAAAGTAGCATGATGGCTGTTGCGTATTTCTCTCTACCTGCGCGAAAATTGTGTTTTATTTCATTTTCAACCCGAAAAATCAGTTTTTGAAAACCCTGAGATCATTAGCATGTGCGATTTTGCTGGATTTTTGTAATAAGAGAAAATCGCATAATCTAATTTGTGAATGCAATGTGATCGTTTGCTACCTTTTTGACCGGAGTCATGTAAAGTACTATTTTTTAGGATGACGAAGAGTCTCTGAGAGCTGCAAAATGGAATGTGAAAATGACACTGCGTTCTCATCTTGACGCTATTCGTGCAATGCAGGTTAATCTTCTTTACATATTTATTTCGTTATTATCTCATCTTAGTTCCTATGTCGAGTCCTTTCAGTTCCATCCAGTCGAACCTGTATTGATCACAGCTGGAGAGGATGGTACCGCAAAGTTGTGGAATCTTGACGGAGCTAAAGAGAAATCAGGTATGGGATGGTATTTCAGTCAATGAACATGTATAGTAGAGTAAACTCAAGTATAGTATTTGTGGAGGAATATTCAACAGAACCAATTGCGAATAGGACACTTAGCGAATGTTTGAAACTATTAAGCGATAAGACCTCAGCTCATTTACGAGTGAGCATGGGTTTTCACATGTTGGTAGTGTTGTGCGACTTTTGAGTCATCGTATTTCTACATACATCTCTTACAGTAGATGAGCTATTTGTTTTTACAAGACGTGAACTAATTCATATGGCAGTTGATAAGGCATAGTAATACAGTAATAAGCAACGCTGGCCAATTCTTCTAGTGGCTTTCCATCCCGTCCCAACAGGCGTAGCTCGGCTAAGTGACTGCCTGCACAATATGAAGAAATGAAGAACTGATTAAAGGAAAAATTAAGTGAAATAATAGTGGGGGGGGGGAAACGCACAGTAGTACATAGGTGCTGACACTAACACCATCATATGCCAACAGCTTGTTCTTCGATCAGTTGTTCGTTTGTCAAATGGTTCAGATTAGTAAATGCTTAAGCTGTAAACTAAAATAGTTAGTGATCTGCTGGTATAAGTAACTTAAGGTGCGGCTATATAGATCATTTGGATTGGATTATCCATTTTAAGGAAGCACTTCTGAAATCGAGCCTGTTTACACGTTCCGAGGGCACCTAGGCCCCGTTCTGTGCATGGACCTTTCACCAACTGGCGATCATTTATTCACAGGTAATGTCTTCAGATTGCCTTACTTGAATTATTGAAGTGTTGTTATTTTTTTATTTGATTGCTGTTTCCTGTCATGAGAAAAACTTCAGGAGGCAAAGATGGAGTAATTTGTTGCTGGAATGTGCCCAGCACTACTGGAGATCCATATGAAGCATATGGTGAGTTTAATGGTTCAATTGCGAGATTATAGATTAGATTTGTAAGGGGGTTAAACTAATGCTACGGAAATTTTGTTCTACACCATCCACCATCATCTCTATTTTGATTTTTGCGTGCACTAAGATGGCATACTGCAAAACGAAGATGCTCCAGTTCCCACTTTTTTAACTGATGCACATGTTGTTGCCATCATTTAAACCATCATTTCGTAGAAATTTGGTAATATATTTCACGACTGGGGAAAGGGTTGTGGCGGCAAGTCGTAGTGACTACTGCAATTAGGGGCCGTAAGGTATGCTTCCCCGAAGGGTTAGGGGACGAAAATTCCTTTAAATTTTCTCTGTCTTCCCAACTGGGATTGTCCTGATAAAGGGCCTACATTTAATATATGTGTGTAGCTTAAAGTAAACATGCATTGAAAATGAAGAAACAGTATCGTTCAAAACAAAAAATTTAAAGGGACTTTCGTCCCCGCAACC